TTTTTTTTTACTCCGACCGGCGCAACTGTGGACCGCCCTGGAACTACCGTGAGGTATTACTTCAGGGCGGCCCACGCCGTCTCTAAAACTCACACCACCACGTTGTGAATCAGCCCGAAATTAGTCAAGAGCTGATTTACAACGTGGTGTGGCCTCCCCGTTAGCCGGATCCCAGGGTGGGATCTGTTGGCCGGGTTGCACCACGTGGAGGTGGGGCCAGGACTTTGCGAAGGGGGCAAAAATAACTCACAACACATAAAACATATAAACACGAATCCCTAAGGTGCCGGTCTAAACCAGCGCCTCAGGTCCTCCTGTGCCGGGCGGCGTGGTTGCCTCTGTCTCAGGCGTTCCGCTTCCTCCTTCTTTAATAAGACGGATTTGGCGAACGCCTGGACGAGCCTCCACGCCTCCCGGCTCCTCAACATCAGGTCCACCATGGACCCGACTCGGAACGTGGACCCTAGTCGAGACTCCAAAGAGTCCCGTTCCTGGGCCCACGCCTCGCACCGGAAGAGGGTGTGCAGAGCGCTATCAGCCTCTCCCGGGCGATCCGAACAATGGTCGCACGTCGGCGCAGCTGCTTTACGAATACGATGTAAGTACTCGTTAAAGCAGCCGTGGCCGGACATCACTTGGGTGAGACGATAAGTCATCTCACCGTGAGTCCGGTCCACCCACCTGTCCAGCCGATCGGGTCCTATGAGGGACCTGGTCCACTCGCCTCTCGTTTCCTCCGAGAGGCGAGTCCGCCACCGGAGCAAGGTCATCCGCCTGAGCGCCAGCCGGTCCTTGGGTTCGAGGGACCGGTTTCGTTCTCGGCGGAGCTCATGCCCGTCGGCGCGTTCCTCGGCGAGCAGGTCGGCGGGCGGCAGTGACGACAGGATCCCCGCCGCCACTCCGGACACCGTTCGGTACTTTGAATCTGTCCGGATCGCAGCACGCCTCTGCACTGGTTAGAGACTACACTATAGATATTATTTATTTTGATTTTTATTATTTTTTATGTCTATGTATAAAAGTTTATACTTGTACCAGGGAAAACTTACATAGTCCAGTTTAAGAAAATCGAACCCAATACTTTCACTCCGAGGCAAGATTCATTACCGACTGAGCTAAATAGACTGTCTATATATTCGAAAGGGTCATTACTGTAGTAAAAAAATTAGCTCACCTAAAAAAAAAATTTAATTTAAATTTAATAAAATTTTCAATTAAAAAGACATGTGCGAATCAAGTGGCGAAATAACAAATTTTTTCCAATGAAAGAAAGGAGGGTTGCAAATAATTTTGATGAACTTGATGAGTAAATAATAAATAGTTATATTTTGTTTCACGGAAGACATTTTTTCAAACACGTTTTTAATTTGTTTTTATTTATAATATTCTGTAATATTTATATTAAAGGCCTTGTAAATATTCAAATTTATATTTCCATCCTGTTTATTTTACATAAAACGTTTTCCATTTATTGAAATATTTGTTTAGATTAATTTTCTGGATTCATTCGTAATCTTGAAATGAATTAAATAAGTTCCTTGATTTATTTTTAAATATTATTAAGATGATTTCTCTACACACATGATTTAATTTAATTTAAAATACGTAATCGGGAAATCCGTAGTGTTATCTGCAGTACTACTTAAGTATTACATTATAATTATAATTTAATGTAAACGAGCTTTATACAACGACTATGTATTTTATACTAAGTTAATTAAATATGGAGTTTTCATAATTTTTTCACTTAACCCTATTCATTATCTGAAATTGCGTTCACTAGATTATTTTAATATCCAAACACTGGTTAACTATTTAACATACTTTGAGTAAAATAAAGATTTTTTTCTTTTTTCAACTGTTTTTAAGAAATATAAATTGGATCTTATATAATATCAATTTATTTTTTATTGGCACATGATTTGATTTCAAGACCGTTTTTAAAGCAAAATATAATTCATCAGCAGCATTTATTGTTATAGTGATTACTTTGTAATTATTACCTAACTATTATTAAAAAAATAATACAAGTTTATTATCATTGACTCCAGAGACCATAAATACTAATTAAGAATTATTAATTATAAATTCACAATTACCTGTAAGTTTTCATATACTGTTTTCCAAAATTCGCGGAAAAATGAGTACAACAAATAAATAGCGTACGTTTTATGATCACATGGCCGGGTAAAAATAAAAACAATAATAATATGTATACATTCTGAACACCAAAAATACATATTAATTAAAACTCGCCTATGCAATATGAAGTAGGTGATGGCTATTTTATGTCAATGATAGAATTAGTCATGGTAAAACTTATCTTAGTCAAGACGTTCATAAGATAACTTAATAATTGTAGTAACCCAAAATTAAAGAGTGTTTACTTAGTATTTAAGTTTAGCACGATGATGGTTTGTTCTGGGTTACTACTTTATATCTTTATTGGGATCGTATAATGCGGAGGTATAGAACAGTTAAGACGAGTAGATATAAAGAAACAAATGTAGATTTCCTTTATTGAGGAATAAAGACTAATAAATTGGTAAGAACTTTTAATAGGACACTGAGGTAACGAGGTAGTAATCCGACCCTTGAATACCCAGTTGAAATGTCTATTAATACAAAAATAAAAAAATTGTATTTATTATGTCGCCCGACTGTTCGGCTACGTTAGGCTCGAGCATAGAAGTTCTCATATAGATCATCATTTACCCACTCTGCAAGTTACCGCCCGGTAATAATGTTAATCCCAGTTTTAGAATCTTAAGTGGTCGTTTTTCTATTCTATGTAAATTTAATTTTATTAATCGATTAAATTAGTAATTTTTCAATTACATATATTTTTGGTAATTAACTATGCATTACGACCTTAGAGTATGCAAATAACAACAATCCTAGAAATTCTCTACGATGGATGTACAGTGGAAGTTTTGATCTCTGAATGATACCTAGTGATTGCTTGACTAATATATGTTTGAAAATGTAAGATTTTTCTATTAATATTTGTGTTATAAGTCCATATGTAAAAATAAAGCAGATACCTGTACGAGTCATTGGTTTGGACAAGAAAAATACTTAATAATAGATAAGACAAAAATATATATAATAGAGAAATATAATTATAGAGACATATTATGTCTCTAACAAAAAAATGTTAAAAATGCTCAAAATTACTTTATATAAAGTTAAATTTGAGTAAATTTCTTGTATATTATTATACGAGTAATTAAGTGGCTCTAGATAAGTCAAGAATTTATTTAATATATTAATAAAAAAAAGGAAACAATATTTTTACAACATAAATTGATGATTCGTAAAATAGCATAAATATTTTTTTGCAAAAATATATAAGTTTATAATATTCTTAATTATTTATTTGTATTTTTGTAAAGCATAAATAGCAAAGTATAATAGATAATTTAAAAAATAACTTCACTTTCATTTTTAACTCGCAAAATGACTATTACATTATAGTAAAATTTCCCGTACATTTGGGAAAAAATCTATACTGACGTCACTAAGTAATAAACCGCTTTTATAAATTTATATAACTATAACAAGTCTTCGTATAGTTTAATACTAGATTTATATCAAAATTGTTTTGTTTTGAAACACGTGTACCATCTCTACTTTTGATTATTCCGGATTTTATGCATGAAAAACGACATTCGATTACCAGTAGTCAACTATTAGTGTGCACACTATTCCCTCACTTAAATTAATTGAAGTAAAAATTGTAGCTTGTTTAATTTAATATTAAAATATTATAATAACCTATTGATAGTGAAATATTGTTTGCCCTTAAAAATGAAACACCTTCGATTTTTATTATTTTTATTATTTGTGTTCAAATCAATAACTGGACAGTTAAATAACGGAGGTCAGTAAATAGTATTCAAACGTAATCTTAAATGTCTTATAAATAGAAAAAATAATTCCATTAATAAAATATTTTTTTGATATCTTAAATGTTTGACGCTAAAATAGTAATATAAAATATTTTTTACATACAAAAGAAATATCTATAATCATAATTATGATAATATTCATAATCAATGTATTTTTTTTTATGTACACTTTGATATGTTTACGCTATAATTAAATATCTAAATAATTTATAATTAATTAATTCAGACAACGACCAACTATTTTAAATAAAAAGTATCAAATATTTTATGACATGCATCTTTATAAAAATGTTTAATTCTATAATTGATTCGTAATTTATGCTTCAAAAATTTAAATTCAGATTTGTGTCTAGATATATTTTACTAGCGTACTGTATTATTTAAGTAAAAAATCGAGTTGATACATTCTATATTTTAGGTTGCATCAACCCTTATAATGAAAATGGTCAATGCATTAACATTAAAAAATGTTCTCTGCTAAAAGATATGTTAACAAATAACAGAAGAAATGCTTCTGTTATTAATTTTCTTCGGGATTCTGTTTGTGGTTATGAAAGAAGAGATCCAAAAGTTTGCTGTCCATTAAGGACTGTTGAAACATATACTGCGTCTTCGACGAAGCCAGACATTTCTTCAAATTATGAAACTGTGTCGTCTTCAAAACTACCACCAAAAAATTCATGTGGTTATATTAACGCAACTCTCGGTACAAAAATTGTTGGAGGTCAGCCTGCAGAGTTAGGTAAGTTATATAGCTTATATAAAATAATTTTTTAAGAAATTTGATTAAAATATATTTAAAATTTTGGTTTTTAGGTGCTTGGCCATGGATTGCTGCAATAGGTTACAGTAGTCTTAATATACCAAAGAAACCACCGCAATGGTTATGTGGTGGTACTTTAATCTCAGATAAATATGTTGTTACAGCTGCTCATTGTACGGTAGGATTAGGAAGTAAAAAAATGTAAGTAATACAACTGTGTATTGATATTCTAGATATTATTTTATGGAACATTAAAATATATTATACTGTTAAATCTGGGGTAGAGTCAATCTAAGTTTAATTTGTTTTTATTAATAAGTTCTATAGTACGACTAGGAGATTTGATTTTGGACTCAGACATTGATGATGGCGCTAATCCAATTGACATCCCAGTTGAGAAAGTTATGATACATGAAAATTACAATAGTCGAGATGTCACTAATGATATAGCAATTCTGAAATTAAAACACTCAGTTTCGTTTAATCGTATGTATTTGAATTTAAAACAAGAAAGGTTCGAGTTAAATATTTTTTAGTTTTTAATTAATATTTAAAATTTAAAATAAAACGAAAATATTTGTAATTTTTCTATGTTACTTAACAGATCTGATTCAACCTGCTTGTTTACCAATTATGTCCGATATAAGAGCCAACAAATTTGTAAAATATGTACCAAAAGTAGCTGGATGGGGTGCAAAATCTTTCCGTAAGCTCAAAAATAAATTTTTTTATCTACTTTCTTACATAAGTCTTGTATTAGATGAATAAACATGCTGCTAGTAACATAGTTATAAAAAACATGAGATTTTTCTAAAAATACTAATATTTGGTAGATGCCTAAAAATGATATCAATTTTTAGGAGGACCAACAAGTTCAGTCTTATTAGAAGCACCAGTACCTGTTGTAGACAATGCTGAATGCAAACGTTCTTATGTTAATGAAAAAACATTAATTGACGAAAGGTCATTATGCGCTGGATACAAAACTGGAGGAATAGATGCTTGTCAGGTTTGTTTGGACTAAACTATAAGTAATTTTTTATTTTAAAATAAAATTATGTGAATAGTTTGAATTGTATTTTGAAAATATTTGCTACCTAATTAATTTTTATCTACTTGCCTCTGTAAAGATATTAGTGACTGACACAATTCATTATATGGGCTTATAGTTGTTACTAAGGTTTAATCGTTAGGGAATTATACAGAGACGTATTTAAATAGTGTCATAGTCCTTGGACGTGGAAATTATTAGGGGCATTTCTATTTTATGTTAAACAAAAATTATAATTGTTAATTTGTTTATCATTCATTATTAATATTTACTATTTTATGTGTACCTTACAAGCTTTTAGATGCCAAGAGTAGTGAATAAATACATTGGTTTTAACATAAAGTGTTTTTTTATTAATACATTTTTGCGAATGAATTTAGTGTTAGGGATGGACGTTTTTTTAGTATGGAGTAATTTATCCATATAAAAATCCATGGAGATTAAGAAGAAAATGTTTGACCATCACTCCAAATTAGAAAGAAACACATAATTTCTTTTTATAATGATCTACAGTGAAATGGATTATTCTCTTTAAGATCCTTTTATGAAAGGCGTCAATATTTGTGACTGGGACATTGTACACTTAATTTTTAATTTATTGAAAATATACTTTTTTAAAAATCAATGTTATTATTATTTCTATTATAGGGAGATTCTGGTGGACCATTGATCACATCAGTTAAAGCACAACATTACTTGATTGGAGTTGTGTCTTACGGAGTCAAATGTGCAGAACCAAATTATCCTGGAGTATATTCAAGAGTAACATATTTTGTTGATTGGATTGTTGAAAAGATGAATAATAGTTAGGTTTATAATGATATTTATAGTATATATAATTAAAAAGTAAATTTTCATATTTTTTACCATAAAAGTGATATTGTTATTAAAACTGACAATTTAAAAACTACTTAATAAATATTACTACGACTAAAAGCCAACAAATGTTACTGTCGTACGTTGGTAGTACCCCGACGTAGACACAAAAAGTAGTAGTACACAAATTAACTAATGTGTTTGACGACGAGTTTGTCGTTTTTAGCTCTTCTCGAGTCCTCCCGTTGTATACGCTAGTCAGCTCCAATTAGTGAACTACTAAAGGGGTAGATTTTAGACCCGTCAACACGGTCTAGCTCAAAAGTAGCAGACTGAAGGGTGGCTTCTCAACAGCCACCAGCACAACTACCTTTTCACTATACCTATTAAAAAACGGTTAAGCCCAAAAACTAGCAAGCACGCACTCTGATTATTAAGATCGACTAAAGGACCAACCTCGACTCTTGTCGCACGCGCACACACACACAATTTTAACAGCACGGTGGATATAAAGTATTTACGCTCTAGTGTAGCTTTTTAAATAGTTATTTTATTTACGAGATGTAATAAACATAAAGTTAAAATATACTATATAAAAATATATTAATTCATACAAAATACAAAGTTACTCGTAGCAAAGGCCTAGACTCGTAACTTTACGTTTCATCGTCAAAACGTCAATTCCTCTATACTTTTCATGTTTCCTTTTATATATTCTTTTTTCCATCATTATTAATTTGCTTACCCTGCGTTTTCGCTTTATATGACATTATTTTATTGTTTACTACTGTTGTAAAACTTATATTATACTAGTATAATATAAAAAACTATTTACGTATCTTATATTCTAATAATTTACAAAAATTCAATGTTGATTAAGTTGAATTGATTAATTTAATTAAAATATTATATAAATTAGTCCACTGTCTTTTTTTTTACGAGCAAAAAATGATCTCATTCCCTTTATGTTTTTATTCCCTTTAATCTTTATGTTTTTTGCAAGGTTTCTCTGACTGTAAAATGACTAATTTTTGGCTTTAATAAAACTCAGTCTTGTATAAGTTTGATTGGTGGCTTTAAAAAGTAAGGAAGAGGTGTACAAGACTAAGTGACAAAATAATATAAAAAAAAAAAATGTTTCAAAATATTAAATTGTAATAAGAATTATGAAAAATTATTTGAATTAAAGTGCCAGAATTCCGATGTTGGCAGAGGACTTTATGTAATAAATTATGAATGATGGCTGCTGAAAGGATCGATGGTGGTCCTGTCATAAACCACAATGATTAAAATACACATACAGTTAGATATCAAACTTGATGACAACCTCAAGAGTAGTTCAAATGAGCTAATGTATCAGTTGTCAGCTGATATGTATGTTTAGAGAAAGTAATTGTGAATAATACCGGTTGATGGATACGACGAAAACTATGGTTAACTTAAAGTCTTTCAGCTACATATAGGACTGATATGAAATAGTGCAATGATTAAAGTTCGAAGGAGCTTATTACGGCAATGATACGCTAACATTTATGAAATAAAATATAATAAAAATAGTATAATATTATTATATTATATGAATTGACTCAAAATTATCAAAAAGGCATACACAAGTAAACTTTTTGATAGCCAAAAGGTTATTATTTTTCGGTATTAGGAATTATACAAACGTTTTAAATCGATATAAGTTTAGAGATTGTAGGTTTTGTGGTTAGATTCTTTTCAAAAAATGATAATCAAAAAAATTTAGCTGCTTCGTCGTCATATTATGACGACGGAGTTATAGAAATTTTTAAGGCTTTAAATTGATATTCAGATCTCGATTATGATTTTAAATCTAACTTATTGATATTTCAAAGAAGTTCATTATGGGACCAATTTTAATTTTTTGTTTAAAGTGCCCAAGAATTAAATTGATATAAAAAGTACTTAACCAATTAGTCAGCCCACAGGATATATCCTGTGGGCTATAAGTTTAGTTCTGTGAAATTAAACTTTCAATTTTTTATTTTTAATGTAGAGCATATTTTTATTTTGTTTTGAAAGGAGTTTACTATGAAAAAAAACTCCAGTGTTTTCTTAACTAGCTTAGTTCATAATTGACACACATGGGTAAATCAAGCAACGAATTGTCATAACTTACCTCGATGATAAAGAAATAAAGCTAGAAGATGACTTCGGTCATATTTTTTTATGCTGTTACTTATTTTATTCAACATAATGTACTAAAACTTGCACAAATATAATATTATTTATTAACACAATAGTAATTCTTTAAAAATACGATTTTAAATTATACCTCTATTAAAATATTAAAATATTACTTTGATTATTGTTATACCACAATAATTGTGGTATAACCTGAATTGTAAAATGCCCTAAATGCTTTAGAAAGACTCTAATAGTCTTTATATATCTACACATAATAATATTCAATAAAACCAATTTTCTTAGCTCAAAATTTATAGAAATAAATTATGAAATAGTATATAAATTCAACGATTTATAGTTGTAAGAATGCAAAACACCATGATTTTAACATCAGAATTCAGAAGTCCTGAAAAATCTGTTAGCATGTTTATCATTATTTTAAATAATTTAGCTTAAGTGCAACATATATTGTACTAATTTTTAGTAAGTAATAAGATAATCACTATCATAAATCAATTTTAATCTATGAAGATTACAATAATTATTTTTTTTATTATTTCACATGTGTGATTTTACAATAAACAACTTTAGCTTTACTTTAGTTTTTGTTCAATAATTTACATTAAATAAACAATATTACACTATTTATAAAAGTGTAAAGAGTAAAATATGTCTATTATTAATTAATAAAGACATTTTCTTAATTATTTTTATAAATGAATTATTTATATTCATGTAGAAAATAAAATATGTTTATGTAATTATTTTTATCTTACTTAAATATGTAGAAATAAAAGCTGGTTCATTAAATTCTGATAATTCTGAGTATTAAATATTTCTTCAATCAAATAATAATATTAATAAAAAATAATAAAATTACAGACAATTTTGTGCTAATGCTATATTAGTAACGTACTAATGTGGAATTCTATGAGATCTGAACCTTCTTCTACTCATGTCCAATTTATGTTGATTTCATTTAAATTTTAAAAATTGATATATAATTTATTTCGTTTTTTAATTTAATTTCTATTTCTATTCCAATTTCTATTTTTATCAACTTTGATATCGATTTCAAACCTTAGACATTTTTTTATCATTACAAAAAAAATGAGTATAGGAATTTAATATCAATTATTATAACACATTTAAACAATGTAAAAATGTTAAAATAAAATGAATTTTTATCTGAAATGATAATCCAAATATTAATATACTGTTAATCTAAATAATATAGAAGATAGATTAGGTTTAGCCATATAACACTAATTATTACAACTTGGAATAATTATTTAAGTCATATTAATAATTTTTTAATATTTTATTATAATGATTTCTACTATATTAAATATATATATATATGTGTGTCATCAAATTATATTAATAATTTTTATCTAAATAACTAAAAAAGTATTTTTTCAGATTTTCTTAAGATAAATATTTATACATTTATCTAGTTATTTTATTATGTCGAAAAATAATATTTAGTTATTCTTAGTGTTTTGCTAATGAATTATTTAATATTAAGCACTATGAGTATACTACACAAAACAAGTTGAACATATTTACCACCTCTTTTTATTTTTTAATTTATCACGGCTATAGCGAACTTATCTTTTATAGTCACTCATAACAATTTGTATTAAATAGACTTTATAATGAATTATAAAGACAATAAAGAGTTATTTATTTTGAGATTTATATATATATTCAGATTTATTTATACTGATCATTAAACTGAAAATAATTTTAATTGATACCATGTTATGTGTTCGATATTTATTTTATATATTATTTGTCTATAAAGTAGTGATCTCTCAACATAATATTGCAGGTTAGTATTAATTATGTTATATGTAACATTAATATTGGTTATATTTACTATATACATTTATTTGATATAAAAGTAATAAATTGACGTTTACAAAGTGAAAGATTATGAGTTGAAATAATTTTCTAATTAAAGATATTTTGGCTTATATATTACTCTTTTTATAGGCGTTTGTGTGAGACCAAATAATGAAAATGGCGTCTGCCTTAATATTAAAAATTGTCAGCCATTGTTGCTCATGCTCCTAAATAATAAAAATAACAATACAGCAATTAATTTTTTAAGAAAATCTATGTGTGGGTACGAAGGAAAAACTCCAAAAGTTTGCTGTGAATTAGAATCTATATTATCAAATGTCAATAATAATAAAACAGACGACAAAAATGAAGAAACGAATACTAAAAAATTTCTGTCTATAACTGAAAATGTTTCTATGAACAAATCTGAGAGCTATTCAAAATTACCATCTACAAGCTCGTGTGGGCGTATTACATCTTCCCCCAAGTTCAGAATCATTGGAGGTCATCCTGCTGAATTAGGTAATTAATTACCAATAATATAATAAATGAATTTGTCATGTATAATTTGATTTATTTTTTAGGCAATTGGCCGTGGATCGCTGCTTTAGGGTACAAAACAATTAATGAAACAAATAATCGTATTGATTGGTTGTGTGGTGGTACTTTGATCTCAGATAGATACGTTGTAACAGCTGCATTGTGTGTGGTTAAAACTGGGGAAAAGGAAGTGTAAGTAATTCTGTTCAATAATAATTTTGAAAAAATATATATGTTTTTTGTTATTAGTTCTGTAGTACGTTTAGGAGAATTGGATTTGGATCCCAAAATTAATGATGGAGCTAGTCCAATCGATGTTATCGTCGAGAAGATTTTGATTCATGAAAATTATAATTCGAGAAAACAAATTAACGATATAGCACTTCTTAAGCTGAGCAAGGCAATTTCTTTTAACAGCAAGTGTTTTTATTACTAAGTAGTACTTAGCAATAGGAATTATAGAATCATGACCACCTGGGGCCATAACAGTATACTTGGAATAGTTCAAAATATGTATACATTTATAAATTGGATTTGGTTGGGGTTATATATATATTATTTGTGTTGGATAGGGAGGTCCGGACCCTATTAACGTCCCCTGTGATAAAGCTTAGTGAGCATTTTATATTGAAATGTAACTTAAATTATCTGATGTAATACAATAGGAATATGAAAAAAATATTACAATTAATATAATACGCTAATTTAATATTTTTTCTATTTTTAGTAAACATAACATTATTATGATTGTTATAATTTTTGTTAAAAATTTAAATTATTATTATTTTTTTTTAAATTTACACAAAAATTTTATATTTTAGATTTTATTCAACCTGTTTGTTTACCAATAAGTTCTGAAATTCGATCGAATCAATTTGAAAATTATATTCCAAGTGTTGCTGGATGGGGTGTTACGACTTATCGTAAGTAAAACATATACGTGATAACAACTTAATTTTTTGCATCCTATAAAAGTATTGAAATCCGGTTAAAATTTTTAGATGGACCTTCAAGTACAATGTTAATGGAAGCGCCTGTACCTGTTCTCGACAATGCTGAATGTCGTCGTATTTATAATTCTACAAATGCTGTTATCGACGAAAGAATATTATGCGCTGGTTATAAAACCGGGGGAGTAGATACTTGTCAAGTAAGTTTTTATAAGATATTAAAATATTAATACTATAAAATATATTAAATAAATTCAATTTTTTTTTGTCTTATATTTTAAGATAATCCACCAATTAAAAAAGAAGGGTTAGTAAAAAAAGAATTAAAAAAATCTAACACAATTACTTTAATTTACGCTAAACACTTTTTAAATAACAGATAATTATACTTATAATTTGTATTTCTTAAGAATCTTAAAGTGTAAGTTTAATTAAAAAAGTGTGTATAATTTGTTTTGGCGATAGGGAGATTCGGGTGGACCTATGGTGTCAGAAATTGGATCAAATAATTATTTAATTGGAGTTACATCATATGGATTTCTATGCGCAGCACCTGATAAACCTGCTGTATATTCAAGAATAACATACTTTGTTGATTGGATAGTTGAAAAAATGAATAATAGTTAGATTTCCAATAATATTTATAGTATATACATTTTATATTTTTTACCATACAAGTATTATTGTAAGCAAAATTGATATTTCAAAAACTACTTAATAAATATTAATACGACGAAAAGCCAATAAATGTTACCTCATAAAATATCTTATAAAAATACTATTTACGTATCTTTTATACTAATAATTTACAAAAATTAAACCATTTGACTGTATATTTAATGGGAGTGTTTATTAACTGTGTACAATCGAGACATTGCACACTATTTACTATTACTAGTTAACATATTAACATATTTTTAATTATTAGAAAATCTGCTTTCAAACCATATATGGTTTATATATATGACATTATAAACAATATACATGACAAAAAGCACCAGTGGCGGAAGTGTGGGGGCGATTTGGACTTCCCAGACACGGATATTTTTACATTTTTTAATATGTAAATTTAGTATCCCTTATTTAAATCTTACAATTTTTGAAGTGGAATAAGAAAAAATGTTCAACACTTAAGTATATTGAGAAAGTCTTAAAATTCTGGCTACGTGATTAATATAAATATACATGCGCATACCTATTAACAAATTTTCTGTAAATAATCATTTAAACCACTTACACATATAAATTTTGTGCTGTTCTACTGAAAATATAGCAGATTTACTTTATTTGGGAAAACATGGTTATTTTTTATTTTATCGAAAATAATAATATCAGCTTTTTATAATTAAATTAATATCAGTAAATAATTTTTTATAAAAGACTATTTTTACTTAAAGTACGAAAAAAGTTACACTTTTAATGTAATGATTGAATTTTATTACGTATACTCCGCTCTCATTTAATACTCATTCTATTTAATAACATTTTTTTATCGCTCTTACTGGTGTATCACCTGTGATACATATATTACCTTAATTTATGAAAATGCTTGTGATTCAATGAAAAAATGGGTTAAATATGGCTATTTTCAAATTTAAAAATAAAATAAAAACATTTTTTGTTTTATTTACATTTATTAGTGATAAATAATAAAAATATATGCTTTAATTTTTGTTTCAACTCCACTTCAAAAATTGGAACTTTTAAATTTATGTATATTGGTGTCTTAGGGAGTCTAGAAGCCCCTAAATTTGTCACTGGAGTTTGTAGTTCTTACCAGTAAAATTAATCAAATAAAATATAATTTTACCCAAATTCTAGCAAACAGTATTTGATAAATTTTAGACACTACTAATCCTACAGCAATTAAACATAATAAATTACAATGATTGACAAAATAAGTTTAATAGATTAATCTTAACATAATAAAATGATTTGAGCATGTCAACCACATTTTTTAATTGATTTTATCAAACCCTAGATTTTTATATTCGTTGCTGATGAAATTTTCACAAAACATATATAAATCCACACAAGTCTGTTGACAATGGGAAATAGGATCATAAAACGGATCAGCAATATTTTCTGAGGGTACATTTTTCATGCTGATATTTAGAACGTCTCTTTTAGAAAATAAAACTTTTTCTTGATGATAACAATGCCTTTGGTGAATACTTCTTGTATTTCTTAGATCTAATTTAATAGATGATGCTACATCTTGCGCTCCAGCCAAATAATTGTTTGCTACTTCATCCAAACTTAATACCCCCTCAGAAAACACATCTCGTAACAAATTTTTTTCTTTCATCAACTTAAGCAAATTATTTACCATTTTTTTTATTGGTGATAAACAATAAAATGCTCCATTTTCATGCCATATTAATGCTTGTTTTAATTTTTCCATTGCTGTGTCTAAATAATTTAAAAAATATTGAACACTTTTCATCGCCAGAAAAAAATCAGTTACACATATGTAATAACTATTTAGATCATCATATATCTTTAATTTATTCTTTACTTTTTTACACAAATCTATAACTCCAGTTAAAAGTGCAGTGAAATTTTTTAGTAAGTCAAAAAATCTACATCTAAATAGTAGAGTAATATACTGTTTTTTGAGATGAAAATTGTTATCATTTGCTGGATCTCTTAGCACGCGATTTGTACTTAATGCTTGTATATTATGATTTATATATAGATAATTCAAAGTTGTCCAGTTACCCTCATTAAGAAGAATATTTAAATTTACTATTCCTTTTTTTTGTGAAATACAATCAAATTGAGGTGGAAATAATGAATCACATCTATCACACCTAAAAAATTTCCAATTAGAATCATTTTATTTCTATATTTTATTTTATCTTTATGTACATTTTTTTTTGTACATTTTAAAGGCCGTTGAAAAAAAATATATAAAAATTGTATAGTTTTTATTAAGTACCTTTTCTTAAATATAAAAAATTGAATAAGCATTTAGAAAAATGGTTCTCATTTATTTATCGAACAATTCATATTTTACTAAACTCTACACAAAAATCAAACAAGAGTTGTTTTACACATTGTTTGTATAAATAAAAAATTATTTAATTTAGAGGTCCAGTAGTTTAACAGTAACGCATGATTCTTTTAACGCTAGCCACTTAATTCCTCTTAAAATCATAATAATGTAATGAAAAATATTTTTAATTTTTTTTTAGTTACACGTTTTTCTCAATTGATCAGGTATAATTACATTTATAATTCAATCCTTATAATTTATAAAAGTGTAAACTTATTTTAATTGGAATAAACAAATTTTACTACTTTATAAAATAAATAATAATTTAATTAAAAAGTGATTAATTGAAAACATTTTTTAAAATAGTACATCAGAAGTTATTAAAATTTTTATATCAAGGCGAGGGCTCGAGAAATGTGAGATGTGAAGTGTTGTGCCCTAAATTAAGTAATGAAAAATTAATAAATTATTAATTTACTTGTATAAAAGTGGTTTAAGTATTTCTCTAAATCCAAGGTCTTCGTAATCATTTTTTATTGTGTTCATGTAAAATGAACCTAGAATAATTAAAACAATGTTGATAGCAGTTAGATTAGAATTTACTGATTTGTAATGTAAACATCGCTCTTCAAAAATCAAATGATAGTTAACTTGTCCAGGGAGTTGAGCAAAAATACATTTTTTTTTTCTAATACTTTCTGCTATTAAATATAATTTATTAAGGAATGTATTAATATTTAAAAGTACTAAAATTGCATTTTCAGGTATAATGTTACCATCGTGATCAATATAAAATGATGGATCTGATATTTTCATGGTATTTGTATAATGATAGGCAAAATAAATTTCGTCTACCATGACGAATGGGTTATGTGGAATTTTTGTAAATAAGAATTTCATATCCAAATAACTCATAAACGTCATTACTTGGTACAAATTATCAAACATTGTCAATGAATTTTTCACATAATGTTCAATACGTTGGGTACAATCGATAAATTCTCTAAATAGATTGTCTGTTAAATACTTTTCACATAATTTTATGCTTAAAGTGATAAGTTCGGCATAATTTCTTAATATCTCTGCATACTTGTAATTAAGTAAACGAACAACAATAATAGACATATCTAAAATATTGTTTTTGTCAATTTTGTATGTAAATGCATCTTTTACTGTCATGTTTCCATACTCAACATGATTTAACTGCAAATGTTTAATTGAATCCCATCCTTTTTGGTCACAAATATGTTGTATTATAGTAATGACATATTCTAAATAACTATCTTTTATAGATTTTGGATCTTCGGTCGATATATAACCTAATTGAGTAAAATATACAAAAATTAAAATGCTGAGCTGCATTTCTAATAAATCTGTAAAACTGATACTGATAAAAAAATTGTGTTTAATAGTTTACAAACGTATCGTTGTAATTTTTATATAGACATTATATATACATTCTATTTTAAAAGAATACTCAAATAAATAATTTAGACAATCTTTTTTTAGATTTTTTTTTTTTTAAATATGCTTAAGTTAAATTTTTAACTCACAAAACTTTTAAATTCGACTTCATTGCTATACATTGTATTTTTTATAAGGTACTCAAAATAATACTATAAAAAGATCTTAAAATAAATTAGTAAGCATAAGGTATAGTGCCTCAAGTGCCTAGTATTAAATATAAAACCTATATTATGAATAGTAAGACTTGTATTGAGCTCTGTTCTATAGTTGTACTTAACGAATAATTAACATTTTTTATAAGTTAGTATATTATACAAGTTATAAATAGGAATTTTATGATTTAATATATAATTTTATTTTTAACGATGAGATTATAATTTCACATTTGAATATGACAATTTATATAAACTTAAAGCTTATTTCACATAAATGTCATATAATAATAATGATATAAAATTAAAAAAAAATTTACAGCTAAAATTCAGTGCTACCAAGATAATATAAAAAATTTCATCATCCAATTCTAAAAACTAAATATTCTTTTGATCTTGTTATTAATCATATTTATTAATATTAATGCTGTAAGAAATTTTTTTTTTCACATTAAAATAATAAAAAGTTTTATACCTTATTTTTATTTTTGTATACAGTAGAGGAATACCTAAGCACAATTTAAGCAAAAGTTGAAGAGGTCCATTATCATTTCTTTCCTTTTTCTAAATAACAATGCATAGATTTTTTTTAACACAATGCGTAACTGAAATACTATTGGTTTTACTCTGTCATTTTTTCTTTAATTTTTGGGGTGCTAGCCCCCTCAAATTCGCTACTATTGTTGAGTACAGAAAACAAGATTAATACGGTAAACCGTATTAATCAGTACTAAAGTACTGAACCTTTTTTTACAGTAATACCATTTTCTGTTTTATAAAGTTATATTAAAATAATTGTGTAAAACGATTTCATTCAAGCTTTCGATGGTTTTAATTAAATGAAAATGAACTAATCAGCCAATATTTTTGTTTTTGCAAATCGCTCTTTTTATAACCCGGCTCATAGAAATGAAGTAAAATAATAACTTATTATGTTTGTATTATTAATTATCAACTTTAAGTAATTATAGTAAGAATACAAGAGAAAAATAGATATAGGTAGTAAATAATTAAAAAGTTTTACTGGAAATTTCACATTACTGATAAAAGAAGAAAAATGTATTAATGTTATGATTTTAATACGTTACACTATCAAAACTATATTTTTATGTAGTTGCTGTTCAATTGTTTAGTGAAGTTTAGTAAAACGTTCGTCTAATTTTACGTTAACATATTTTTACATTATTTTTGTATTTTCTTTTAAATAATTATTTAATAATAATTAAATAATAATTTAAATTGTTAAAACCATAATAATTTGGACTAATGAAACGAAACTCTTGAATTCGTCCATCTTTATGAACAAGTAAGTTCACTTATTATTATTCCTATATACTTTTTAAATATTACATAAAGTTGGTACTTTGATTTGAACAACCAAACTATAATAGTGTTATTTTGAAATGTTTAAGTATTCTATAATTTAAGTAATAATCTAATAATAATTTAATATAAAAACGATTATTTCTAAAAATTTGAACTAATCAAACAATACAAATGAGAACATACGTTTATTGGATCCTTAAAACATAAGTCAAGCTATAGTCGATTTAAATAATGTTATAAATTATTTTACTATAATTCAACGTTATTGAAAAATATAAATATAACTTTATCGGATCAATTATTAAGTTAATTAGTTTTTTAATGAGAATAAGAATATTTTTTAAAAATTATTAATTTAATCAATATTCTAACAGATTCTATTTATTTAATTAAATTTATACTCAAAAATATAGTTTACTAGTAATATTACTTATTACTACGGGAGTAACAAATTTAAAAAGCGTGTCAACTAGCCCCGGTCTATCTATATTGTAAAACTTCGAGGTAAAAAAAAAGTTTGTGGTTCCTTTCGGTATAATAAAAAATGTAATGTTATAAGTCTATTCATATTTATTAAATTAAAATTGTAGTTTTAAGAACAAGAAATTATCCAAATATTTTTTATAAACTTAACAAGAATCTGCTATTTAGAATTCTAAAGATTTATATAGCATATTAGAATATAATTATTTTAACAAATGCCTGGGTAAAAATTTCCCAAACTTTAAGCATTAAATGCACAATTTCTGAACTAAAAAATGATCTCATTCCTTCGAGCCTTTATGTATTTTGCAAAACTCCTTTGACCGTAATATAGCTAATTTTAAGCTGTAATGAGCCTTTTAGAAATCTGTAAATCAAAAAATTAATGAGCAAAATGTTTAGAATATTGTTCAACTGAAAATATAATTATTTTTACTTATTTATAAATAGATATTTCTATAAAATCTATATTTTTAACATGATATTTTTTTTAATATCGATTTAACCATTTAAATATTTTTCTTCGATTACCACGTATAAATAAATAATTCGAAATAAAAAAGCTTCCATATTTTTCTTATTATCATTACTTATGATAGTGAGATATAAATAGATAATTAATGTAAAAGTTATGGATTTCTTTTAACATCAATGTCAATCATTAAAGTTTAATATTTTATTGATTTATTGTCATTATAATGACAATTGTTATCATTATGACATTAGACAAACATGAACGATGAATTCTCAAATAGTCTATGATATGATATTTTTAATTAATAAAATGTATAGAATTGGTATCACATTTATCTCAGTACACAAATTTACTAGGGCAAGAGCGAAACCGTGTTATTTATCGTTAAGTAAGTGTAGTTAATCGTTTATTTGTAAACAATCGCACGAAAAAAACCGTATTCGACCATGTATCATTAATTTAAATTTTTTAAAGCGGATTTGTAATAGGACTACATACATTAACATTTGATCAGTTGAAAAAAAACAAAATTACGTTTCATATTGATCCATATATTTTTCAAAAAGTTATAGAAATATAAAGTTAAAAATGGAGAATTTTAACACAAAAATAGCATACGGTAGCCATTTTCACCGTGAAGAAAAAACATAATAGTAAAATAATACCTTCTCTGCTTTGCATCGAAGCTAAAATACAGATTTGTAATTATAGTTTATTCTGTATATAATATATTCAGAGTTTAATTAGAATTATTATTTTGCAACATATATGTTTAACTAGCTTATATAATAGGAAATGAAATCTAATCAAGATAATTAAGGATCGATAACAACTTTTGATGTTATTAACATTTTCAGGAGGAATCGGGAGGAAATATCTAATACACAATACATGATACATAATTTACAAATAGTCACACCTATGCCTCTTCCATAGTCTACATCTTAAAATCATTATAACTAAAACAACAAAAGTTGTTTTATTAATTAGATCATTTAAAAACTTAACTTAATTAAAAAAATTTATTTAGTTGACACCTCTATAAATTATAAGAGATGATGCTAAAAAGTTATTAGAAGCTGATAAATCAAGAAATACTTGTAAATTTTGTGAGTAATTGAGCGGTTGACGATAAACATATTACTGTGTATAATTAATTAAATTATGGAAATAGTTTCAAATTTTCTTTTAATTTATTTGATTTGTTCATGCATACTTTCCACTAAAGAATCTTGAGTCATAAGGTTTGTTAATTAGAAAAAAAATATTCATATTTTTTTGTATGAAATACAATTTTCTAAGCTAGTATAAATTTCGTATTTATGTTTTAGTATGCTACTATGATAATTATTTTGAAAACCTTGAAATACTTAAACACATGTTTGTATGTTGCTATGTAAAAACTTGTCGAAATGCCCAAGAACCTTCATGGTTCGTTTTAATATTAATTAAACTAACTTAATACGTTGTTTTATAAATTCTTCGTGATGCCAAACATGATGAATTATATAATGTAGACGTAAAGATTCACTGCGTCTAGTCGGCTCTAAAGTATTTCATGTGTATTATGCCTTAAATTATTTATTATTTTGATTATAACTCTTAAACTGACACTGTAATTATTAAATTCTATATTTATTTTTAATTCTTATATTGTCGGTTTTGAAGTATGATCACGGAAAAAACCATAGTCTCAGCTGTTGATCAGTTATAACTTGTTATACACACCAGCATAACATACAATTTATGGCTTTATACTTCTTTAATAAAATACAAGTATATTCCATCTCTCTTTTTAACTTTCTGATATCTGCAATCACCTTCATAAGATTAATTGAAATTGGTCATTAGTATTAGATATTAAACGAAAATAATATATATTTATATTTTAACTGTTTTCAAATAACATTAATATTTTAATTAAATATTTTATATATATATTATTAATATAATGACGTACAAACAATTAATTTTTTTAACTGTGTTTATAACAAAAGCAATAGTGACGCAATCCAGCAATGAAGGTCAGTATTTAATTATAATCATTTTGATATGTTTATTAAGATACTTATTTGTAATACTTCAAGAAATAAGAAAATCTATGCTATCAATATATATACACAGAGTGGTTCACAATGTTTTGACAAATTCAATAACTTTTGTTCCAATTAAATCTAAATTATTTATTTTACGTTGATTTTTTTTTAAATAAATTTTATACCTAAAAACTATAAAAATATAAATTATAATAGTTTTAATTTATTAAAAAAATTTTTAATTAAAAAAAAATTTCGAGGTAGACTTATAGAGGTTATTTTAAGAGAAAACTTGAAAAAAAAATAACTTGTTAATGTTCACTAGTAAATTTTCTACAACAGTTTTAAAGTGTGTGAAAACTTGAATATTCATATAAATTTTTTACGATATCAAACATTGAAATATAAATTGAAAAAAGGAATTGAATCTTTTTTCCATGGAAATTTGCTTGGTTAAAGTTACGTACATATAACCAATATTTGGTTTTTAAAATTTATTAAAAAAAAAAACAAAAATGAACCGCCGGCTCTGCCTATAATCAATAAAAAAAAAATGATAGCATAGTGGGGTCGCGGCACAGTGTGGACGTGGCATAGTTAGGATAAGTATAGATAATATTTGACAGTGTTTAAAATCACTATCATAAGAAACGCTTCGATACAAATCTGTAGTGTTAATTTTAAAAAATACGTGGATCATACCAAAAGCAAAATGAATTCCTATTTCCTTCATTATTCTTGATTAATAGTTCTTTAATTTATAAGTGTAATATATGAATTTATTATTGAAATTAAATGTAGTACGATGTTGAAATATAATAATTTAGTGTTCTAATTTTCTCGGAGAATATATAAAATATTATAAAGTAGTTATTACTTTTATGGTAAACGTGTATAAAATAGTAGTGTGAAAAGTACGGGTATAATTAGGATACATAAATAGAATGAAGGTGTACATGTACAAAACAAAAATTATAACACAGTGAAGATACTTTTTTTATCGTTTAGAAAAAGTACTAACATTTTTTTCTAAGAATAAAACCCTAACTTACGCCACTGTGTTAAAGTATTATTCTTTCTTCTAACATTATACTAAAATTAATACATTTATATACATATATAAAAAAAACCCAGCACAGGGGGGTCGCGGCACAGTGGTGACGTGGCATAGTTGGATCAAGTATAATGATNTGTGACGTGGTATAGTTGGATCAAGTATAATGATATCTGACAGTGATTAAAATCACTATCAAAAATAAACGCTTCGATGCAAATCTTTAGATAGTGTTTACTTTTAAAAAATTGGTGTATTATTCCAAAAGCTACATGATCTGCTAGTTCCTTATTAATATCCTGATTAAGAAAAAGTATTCCGAATGAAAAAGGGATTACAAAAAAATATTATTTTTCATAAAAAAATTATGTTGATCTATACAATTTTCAATAAGTTAAAGCATTATAAAGTTAAAAATGTAAAAAATAAAATCGAGAATTTTCACACAATAATAGCATTCGGTAGCCATTTTCACCATGAAGACAAGTCCAGAGGTCAAATTTTTTTTTTTCAAATTAAAGTATATTACATTAGCTTTAATTTAAGATATATATAAAAGTGTCAGACCTTCCGGAACATTTTCAAAAGTTAAGTTGAAAAAGTTAATTTTTTGTGAAAAAGTTGTCATTTTAAATCCCCCCCTGTGGGCAGATAAAGTGTCAGATTTACAAAAAAAATATACCAAATGATAAGTAAAGACATCAAGCATCTATATAAAAAAAAATTATATTGATATGTTCATTTTTGAAAAAGTTAGAGCATTATTAAGTTAAAAATATAAAAAAAAATTATTTTACAAAAATCGTAATTTTTTATTAACTTTGATGTCAACTTTCACCACGAAGACAAGTCCAGAGGTCAAATTTTTTTTTTTCCATAATAAAGAACATTACATACATACAAATTTTTAATATAAGATACATAAAAAAGTGTCAGACCTTCCGGAACACTTTAAAAAGTTAAGTTAAAAAACTAAATTTTTTGTGAAAAAGTTGTCATTTTAAATCCCCCCCTGGGGACAGTTTAAGTGTCAGATTTACAAAAATTATATGCTAAATGATAGGTAAAGACATCAAGCATCTATAAAAAAAAAAAAATTTAGTGATCCATACATTTTCCGAAAAGTTATAGTATTATTAAGTTAAAAATATAAAAAAAAATTATTTTACAAAAATCGTAATTTTTTATTAACTTTGATGTCAACTTTCACCACGAAGACAAGTCCAGAGGTCAAATTTTTTTTTTTCAAATTAAAGTATATTACATTAGCTTTAATTTAAGATATATATAAAAGTGTCAGACCTTCCGGAACATTTTCAAAAGTTAAGTTGAAAAAGTTAATTTTTTGTGAAAAAGTTGTCATTTTAAATCCCCCCCTGTGGGCAGGTTAAGTGTCAGATTTACAAAAAAAATATACCAAATGATAAGTAAAGACATCAAGCATCTATATAAAAAAAAATTATATTGATATGTTCATTTTTGAAAAAGTTAGAGCATTATTAAGTTAAAAATATAAAAAAAAATTATTTTACAAAAATCGTAATTTTTTATTAACTTTGATGTCTATTTTCACCACGAAGACAAGTCAAATTTATTTTTTTTAATAAAGTACATTTCATTACCTTTAATTTAAAATATATATAAAAGTGTCAGACTTTCCGGAACACTTTCAAAAGTTAAGTTGAAAAAGTTCTACTTTCTATATGCATTTTCTATTTTTGAAGCCCCGTCGTATATAGGGAAATGGTCTGATTAAAAAAAAAAGTATGTCCAATGAAAGATGTATATAAATACTACTTCTCATGAAAAAATTGTATTGATCCATACATTTTTTAAAAATTTATAGCATTTTAAAGTAAAAAATGTAAAATATAAAATCGAGAAATTTCACACAAAAATAGCATTCGGTAGCCATTTTCACCACAAAGACAAGTCCAGAGGTCAAATTTTTTTTTTAAATTTAAGTTCACTACATTAGCTTTAATTTAAGATACATATAAAAGTGTCAGACCTTCCGGAACATTTTCAAAAGTTAAGTTGAAAAAATTATTTTTTGTCAAAAAGCTGTCATTTTGAATCCTTCCTGTGGGCAGATAAAGGGTTAAATTTATAGAAATATATACAAAATCATAGATAAAGATATCAAGCATCTATAAAAAAAAAGAATCATATTGATATGTTCATTTTTGAAAAAGTTACGGCAGTTTTTAGTAAATAAAATTGAAAAAATTTCGAAAATTAGCGATTTTTAAATTTGTAATTTTTTTGGAGGTTTCCCCCATTTACAGGGAACGAGGAAATTTTTTCAATTTTTGAGGGTAATGTCTTCGAGTAAATACGATTTGTGATCTTTTGACGTATCGTTGAAAGAAATCGGTTCAGTGAGAGCTGAGAAAAAGTGGTAACAGACACAAAAAAAAAAAAAAA